TGTGTGTGTGTGTGTGTGTGTTTGTGTGTGCAGGCTGATGATTTACATGCATGAGTTTGTGTATGTGGGGCAGAACCCTCCCACAGGTTGCCCTCGGAGGCAAATGCCTGTGACAATCGCGGTTTTGGTCTCAAACACGCACACGTCTCCTTCCATTAAATCCCAGGGACATTAACAGCAGCCCGCGGCCACCGCTTTGAGCTATGCAGGAGATGTTTAAATATAAAACACAGTGAACAGCCTGCTGTGATTTTTTTGCACTTCCATTTTCAGCTATGGGGACGGACCGTGTGTATTTGTGTGCGCATGAAGGAGTGTCTGTGTTTCAAATTCAGATCATCGTCTACAGTTGATTCGATGTTTCAGGTCACTGTGGTGACAGCAGTGTTTTACCTTTAAAAGCAGGGGAGCTAGGGCGCTGTGTACCAGGCGGAGGGGCGTCCAGAGGTGGCAGTACAGAGCAGTGTCCACCATGCCGGGATCCACAGCACATGAAGTCACTGGGAAGCCTCCGAGCTGCAGCTCCTGTTCGAGGTGGGAGCTAAATACTAGCTGGGCCAGTTTACTGTGACAGTAAGCAGCATGGGCTGAATAACACTGGCTGAAGAGAGAGAGAGGAAGTAAGACAGAAGACATTTGTATGAAAAGGATGGAATATGTGTCTGTATAAATGGGATAAAGGGCAGGTAAACAGCTGCCTCACTTTTGTTCAGTCCATTCAATTAAGCTACTGCCATAATATTATTTTTTTTCATGTAATAAGAACTTGTCCCTGTTCAGCAGGATGAGTTCTTCCTACACTGGAAACTTAATAAGACCTCTGTGAATCCTGAGGCCCAATATGCAGTGATTCACAGTGTTATCAACGGGAAGCATCTAAAACCAGGAGACCTGCAGCTTTTAGGAAGTGTGCCACCTATTTGCAATGTAAGCAACAGCAGCAGTTATCTGGATATACTGAAGTTTTGCTTCTATATAGGACAGGAATGGAAAGTGTTTTGACATGTGCATACTCCTTGTAATGTTATACTCTATGCATAAAGCTTGTCTCACTGATACATTATACACGATACACAAACTAGACTAGAAATTCAATTGAGGATGATGATGTCCTATTTCATAATTAATTTTAATTTAATTGAGAAAACAGAGAATAAGGAGTTTGCATAATCAGTTGCACATTTTTTAAGCGTTTGAAGATCTGATCTTCACTGACTGTCAGTTGTCATAAAGATGTTGGTGCATTTGATCGATTCACCACTTCCACTCACAGGGAGATAATCCTTCTTAAAAGTTTCCAGTAGTTGCCGTTAACCTTTAATTAAGCAGCATGGCAAACTGAATTATTGTTTTCTATATCAAACTAAAGCTGAACTAAATTAACTAGTAATTAAAAGTCAGCATCTCTTTAACCCGTGGTCCTCAAATGGGGGTCCCCGGCACACTGCCAGGGGGCTCGAGAAAGGTTTTGAGATGACTCCATTAAAATAATCATAATACATGAACTTTCTGTGTAATTATAAGAGACATACATGAGGGGTCCCTGGAAATTTTTTTATTTTGCAAGGATCCTTGGCAAAGAAACATTTGAAAATGTCTTCAGTGAGCAACCTACTGCCACCCCCATGATCTGCATGTTGAAATCTGCGTGGCAACAGGACTTGGGGAGAACAACAGGGAGAGTTTTGTTTGTTTTGTCTTCTTCCAAAGATCCTACAGATCATTACAAGAGACTGGTTAAGATTTTATAACATTTTGTGAGAATCTTTGCTCACTGCCATGCTCCACAGCCCAGCTCAATGGCAAATGAAACAACACAATGAAGATGTTGGGGCTGCTGATATTTCTGGACAGCAGTGTTGTTTTCTGGCACTGAGACTGAGCGAACTGGAGCCAACAACTGCTAATGCCAGAAGAAACTGAGGAGCTTTTGTTTGTGATGCCAGTATAGAGAGCGAACAGGTGAGTGCGACAGGTTTGGCCTCAAAATCTTCGAAATAAAACAACACGCTAAAACACTCACTTTACAACACTCTTTATGGACAGGTTCCCTGTTCTTGGAATCCCCTTCACAATTCACACAGGACTCTGGAGCTACTTCTAATCCAATGCAATAAAATCAAACTCTTCAGGAATTGTTTTAATTGTTTTACCTCTGTTTGCACATTGCAAGCTCTAACTCAATTCCCAAGTACTTTTAAATGGAAAAAAATTGCAAGTGTGTGTGCATGTGTGCATGCATGTGTGTATATTTCAACCTACCGGCTATTTAAATCGTTAAGTCTGACATCGCCGATGCGGTGGACGGAGGAGGAGACGTTTACCACACGAGAGAAAGGACCAGACATCCCAGAATCCTTGAGTGTGTCCAGGAGCAGCCAGGTCAGTAGGAAGTGACCCAGGTAGTTCACCCCGAAGTGCTGCTCAAATCCATCTTCAGTGCGGCCTTCGGGAACCAGCATGACACCCGCTTGGCACAGAAAATGTACATAGAGGCAAGTCATGCACAGAAAAATACGTTTCAGCTTTTGTATAAGCAAATATTTCAAGCCTGTTGCAGCATTATATTTACACTCATCTCCAAATTGCTTGTTAGGGCTAATGTATTTGTTGTAACATAAACACAAGGTGGAAAACAATAATCAATCAGTTAATAATATTCCTAAATCCTAAGAGTCTGTGATGTCCCTGCAGTGTTCAGCACAGAGTTAGTGATGTGTGTTCTTTACAGCACATTCTTAAATAACTTTTAGGTTGCTTTCATATGTATGTAAACATGAAATGAAAAGCCGTCCATTTCACATGAACTTTGATTACTGGTGACCGCAAAAATCTTCTGTGGCTTGCTTATCAATGAGGAGACAGAACCTACCGATGGCTTCACTTGAGGGCAGAGCCTTTATTATTATTTTTACCCTGCTGTGTAGAGGATCCTCATTTTCTCCACTAATTACTTTATAAACTTACATTGCAGACAACCCACATGTGGTGTGAACAATACTTTTCCATCACTCACCATTATTGATCAGAATGTTTAGTGGCAGGCCCTGTTGCTTGAAGCTTTGGACAAATTGATGGACAGACTGCAAAGAGGCGAGGTCCAGCTCCTTGAACTCGACTGGAATGGACACACACACACACACACACACACACA